TATATATGTGTCTCTGTGTCTTTTGTTCACTTCTAATTCCAACGACCTTCCTTCGGTCCTACTCCAACCAAAATGTAACTTCTACACAAAATGCTACGTCCAACATTTCTTATATACCGAAAACATCCCCAACTAGAGCATGTTTACGATCATGATTATGCATTCTTTTACCATCGTATTTAAAATTAGTCGAGGCAAAATGTGAGAAAAAAAATTTACGAGAGAGCCAATCAATTGTTTTGCTCATGTGTTAGGTGAATCCATTTAACAAAAGAAAATTTGGCCTTGGAGGTTGTTAAACATGAATAGATCAATACTCCCTCTGTTTCAATATAAGTGTCACTCTACAGCTATGCACACGGATTAAGGAAACAATTAATTTTACATATTTCCTATATAAAAACACAATTACCCACACACCTAACCATATTTTAACCAATAGAAAAACAAATTACATAATAAAATTAATAAATTTTGTATTGAAAACCGAAAACGACACTTATTTTGTAACACAAAAAATTCTCTACAACGACACTTAATATAAAACGGAGGGAGTAGTATTTATTAATATCTTTCAGAAAACCTCGTAATCCTCCAAAATAAGTTTAAACATTAATCTAACATCAATGAAAATTAACATTCACGATTTAAATTCTGATTAACAAATTTGCATATCCCGTATATATTATTTGAAAATCATTGTAACATATGAGATATGTCATCACCATAATGATGTTTAGAATCTTTAGAAAAATATGATTCATCTAAGCATATATTATATTTTTATTAAACTAATCATAAAATTAATTAATAATTTATTAAAAAAAATTATTTCTTCTTTCCTTAATAAAATATATGAATTCTTTAATATGATTGGAATAATACAGATTTGATAATTAACAATGTATGTATCCTCTATCATTTTTTTGTTTAATTTATATTATAGAAACAAATTAAACGATCACATTAATCATATAATAAAAATTATATATTTTGTATATGGTATATGTTAAATTTTTAAAACTGTTAAAAATCTCACATAAAAAAATGTATGATCAATTGTTTATATTTTTTGTTATAAGAATATTCACTTGATCATATTCTGCGAATGACACATATTATTAACTAGTGAAAGTTTATTGTGCAATAACAAAATATTAGTGTATACTCGGGTTTTTGACTTATTGAATCCTAACATCTCCAATTCATATCTATATTTGCCTCTATAATAACATTTAGAGACAAATTTTTATATCATCGTACCTCTATTTTTTTCTTTATAATAGAGATTGCTATTTTTTCTCTATAAATAGAAGTAGAAATAAAATTGTATATTTCTTACTATAATTAGAGATATCTAGTAAAGAAGAATACATTATAGTATTTCATCTCTATGGTAGGATTTTTTTCTATTTTAGAGACAAAATAGAAAAATACATTGGAGATGATCTCATACCTGCAATGAATGAATGTCTTCTTATTTAATGAAGTAGAAAAAGATATCATAAATCAGAATGATCATTCCTATTTCAACAACTGAGATCATGTAATGGTCATCCCATGAAACAAAAAGAAAGCATTCTTGAAAATAATGCTACTATTTTGGAGGATTAGAGGTTCTCTAAACATTTGTTTTTATGTTTATTACATGAAACAAAAAGAAAGCATTCTTGAATATAATGCTAATATGTCTGAAACCTACTCTTAAGTTTTGCAAAGAGTATTTAAACATCTTGTCCAAATTCTTGAACTGGAACTGCATATGGAGAGTTCCAATCAGCATCAAAAATCTCCTGAAGCTTCAACACAATCTCTGTATTGTATGTTCCAAAGCTCACACCACTTGTCGCATAGAAATAATCCCAAATGAGATTACTGGTTCCTATGTGAGCTCTCACATCACTTACCACATACTTCCCATGATTCACCCTCGTATAATCTGGATAAAGATTTCCAGTTTTAGTCCCGTTTCTAACCGCAGGTCCTGTCTTGTTAAAACCAGGAACCATGTAGTATCTGATCTCCACTTGTCCAAAACATTTGGTTTGCACAGAGGAAGATGAGCAAAGAACATTGGAGTAAAGCAGCGACCTCAAGTATACATCAGTGGCCTGAATGAAATGACCCCAATATGCTACTAGAATCTTCACTTTGGCTTTCTTGGCGAAGACAACCTGCGAAGTTATCTTATGTATTTCATATTTTGTCATGTTCAGGTGAGTAAGATCATCAAGAACAGGTTAGTTAGTACCTCAGAAACAGCAGAAGAAAGGGATGACCAGTAAACCTTAGGATTAGTGTACTGAGACTGACCAAGCCAATCCATTGTATTGATCCTCACTGTTCCTCCTTCCACTACAGATTTAATTGTATCTACCCATCCTTGTTCATCAGATTGATGCTTTCCAAACAAAAGCTACATATTCAAGAAGGCAAAATCTTATCATATATACAAGCAAAGAGGGTTGAAATGTTCTATAAGTTTCTTGTTTTTTAACCTCTGGTGGTGCCAAAGATAGATAACTCGGCTGTGTTTCTTGACAAGAATGGTTTCCAGAGAGAGTTTCAAAGTCAATATTAAACATATCTGGTTCAGATAGTGGTGGATAACCTGGTGCAACATTAGGTGTCTCTATATAACTTGGAAGAGGTGACCTGCAAAAAAAAAAAAGAGAAACAAGCCACTCTCTAGTAATATTAAAAAAAAAAAAGAGTATTGTTTTTAGGTTTAGTGTTCATTACTTGCATCTTGCTTTGTTAGGTATAAAATGTGACCAGCAAGGAACGGTTCTATTGATCAGCCATTGTTGATCTGATACATTTCTTGTGTGAACTGAAGAATCAAGAGAGGCTAATCTCCACAAATTATCAAAATAAGTCTTGATTTTTCTAGCAATTCGTGAGCATCCACTTAAGTAGATGCCAACTTCTTTCACCTGGTAACATCCAAACCGTTGATTCATTGTAGCCATTGTTTCTACACATTCCAATATGTATGTTTTAGACATTACCTGAGTTAGAGATTTCCAGTCATTGTTGGCAGATCCAATATACACGTCACGATCATCTGAGATCCAAACTTTGGCATGAACAATCCCTGAGCCCCACCATTTGCTAAGTAGCAAAGTCACATTCTTCACGTTTGGTCTTCCATAAGCAAGATCAGATGGTTCTTTTGTATACTCTGGATACACTCCTGAATGAGATAATAATCTATGCACAAAACATTTATCATTTTTTTCTAATATTTTATGGTCATATATACTCAAAACAGTTGGCTTCAAGAAATGTTCTTAACTATGCAAGTTCAGACAAGTTCAGAAATTTACCTGATACTAACGTTGCGGTTAGCAGCATTGTCGATGGATTTGTAAACTAGAGAACCAAGATGAGCTCCAAATTGCTGCAAATCTGAATCTGAATAACCGAAATCGCCAGAGCGAGGATCCTTTGGATTAGCAATAAGCTGCCAGTATTGTGCTATGATGTCAAGTGATCTTGTTGAATTGTTTGCAAGCCACTGAAACACATCACCTACACATTTCTCTCAAACACAAATGAAGATCTTGTCTTTGTAATAATAACAGCCTAACTAACTGAAGTACCCAACTTTTCCCGGGAAGTTACAAAAACAGAGCTAACATAGAAAACAGAGCAAACAAGGCATACAAACCCAAAAGTTTATCTGAAAACAAGCAACGAAATGATTCATAATCATTCAATAAGTAAACCCTTTACTTCAAATCCAGAGTTTTGATATGGATTTTAGCCACTAACTGACATGTTTTCTAGGGAAGAAAACACTAAACAGAGCATGTTATTGAATAAAAACCTGTAGAAAGTACACCAGAGATGAGAGGAAGCTCAGGCATGTCAGTGGGGATGGACTGAACTAGCCAAGCTTTGCATCGGTCGGAAGATTCTACAAAACGTGGTAGGGAGAGGGAAGCTATAACCAAAACGACTGCGTATAGAAATACTCTCTTCATCTTTATCTCTTTGAGTGTTCTTTTTTTTTCTTTTTTTTGTCACAAATCTCTTTGAGTGTTCAAGTATTGATTCAGCTACACTGTTCATCTCTTCATCAAGACTTGAGAAATCATTAATAGTTTGTGAGCACCGACCGAATATTCTTTTACGGATAAATTTTATCTTCAAAAGTCAACGCCTCACACATGACAAATTTGAAGTTATTAACCTCAAGGATATCACCACCCTCCATAACTAAAGAAAAATCAACAAAAGAACTTTTTAAAAATAGAATAATTAAGAACGTAATAAAAAAAAATTGAGGTAAATTTTGGATAGTTTTGTGCTAATTTCATTATTTCTTTCTCTTTTGTCATTTAAATTGTTAAATTGTATTGATATTAGATTATTAGAAATATTTTGGGATGGAATAAATCATTTTTTTGTCAAGATGGAATAAATCATTTAAATCATCATAATATTATTATAGTGTTTGTTTGAAAATAAAATAAAATAGGAAGTGGTCTCGAAGTTTTAATTAGAGCAGAACATCTCAATTCTCAAGTAAATGTCTGTCTCCGACCGTTATAAAAAGGGGAAAATGTTTTTTTTGTTCGCCCTATTTTCTTGGAATCTGTGTCTCCATAGAGAAGAGAGACTAGATAAGAACTTGACCGTTATAAATAACCGTTGGGAGCAGCAGAGCAGAGTAGCACCATTTACTTCCAAACGGCTAATTCTTCCTCTATATAAACACACCCAATCTTTCATTTATTCACAACAGAACCCACTTAAGCAACACAAATCTCATCTTCTTCTTCTTTTTTTCACAACTCTCATGGCTCGGACAACTCTAGTTGACACTTGCTGTCTATTCTTATTCTTGCTGTTGTTGGCTGATCTCTCCAGTTGCAAAGAGATTATGGTTGGAGGCAAACCCAGCGCCTGGAAAATCCCTTCTTCCCCTTCTGATTCCCTCAACAAATGGGCTGAGAGTTTACATTTTCACGTTGGCGATTCTCTCGGTGAGTTTTTTTTTTCCCTCTCTCTAACAACACAACTCTTACCTTTTGACTTTAAAGCTCCTAAACTCTTGTGAATGTGTTTAAACGCAGTGTGGAAGTACGATGGGGAAAAGGACTCGGTTCTGCAAGTGACAAAAGAAGCTTACATTAACTGCAACACCACAAACCCGGCAGCTAACTACAGCAATGGAGACACCAAGGTTAATCTAGATAGATCTGGTTCTTTCTTCTTCATTAGCGGCTCCAAAAGCAACTGTGTGGAAGGCGAGAAGCTTCACGTTGTTGTCATGTCCTCTCGTGGTGGCCACCACCACACTGGTGGTTTCTTCACCGGCTCTGCTCCTTCTCCGGCACCTTCTCAGGCTCTTCTGGGAGCTCCAGCGGTTCCTCCTGCAACTGGTTCTGCTTCTTCTTTGACAAGAAGAATTGGAGTTTTGGGATTTGTTGGGTTAGCAGTTGTCTTGCTCTCGTTCTACTACTAGACTTTGTTTAGATTCCATGTCTGTTTTAGATTCTTTCTCCCCATGAGATTCGTTTAAAATTCTTTTGCCTTTTGACAATGGTGTATTTTCAAATATATTAGACGAACTTCTTGTAAGTTGCTAACACAAGGCAATCTACAGCATACATCAACACTAACTATAGGTCCTTAAACTTTAAAAGGCACCATCAAAGATGAGATGAGATGATTTGAGAAAACCAACTTCTCTCAGGAAAAAAGATGGTGATGACGAAGACGAATGCCACTTGACACAACCCAAAAAGACCAGCAGCTGCAAAAGATTAACAGAAAGAGTTAAAGGACCGAGAGCTTGCAAACATAGTGACATATGCAATGACTTAAACAGAACATAAATGATAATGATTCATTTCAACCCTCAAGGGGGCAACACAAACTACACTATCACACTACTCCTAAATACCAACAAGAGAAGCAATAACAGTCCATAAAGAGGCTCAGTATTCAGAAAAAAAACAGTGCTTTTTATCTATAAGAAACTATCTGAATTCATGTGGTAAGTATGACTGTCTTGGTTGTAGATGAATTGTGCGCATTTGGATAACTGCTTACATGAAGCAAAAGGGTTTGCAAAAAAATTGACATATGTACTGACTTAAATGAACCATAGAGGATATCAGGATACTGATTCATTATACCATCAAGAGAAGCAAGAACAACTCATAAAGAGGCTACAGAATTCGGAAAAAGAACAGTGTTTTTATTATGGAATAACAGCTGAGTTTCCATCTATAAAGAAACTATCTGTCTTTACTGGATCTACTTTAAATTCACTATCAGTTTCCCCATATATTACAAACTAATTAATTAAATAGCACAATGTCTGACAGAGATAATAAGAAGAGAGCATTTATAACTTGAGACAAGAGAACATTACCATGATATATATTTGGAAAATCAGGCTGTACTCATTTCAACATCATCTGAACCCTCAGCTGCCATCATTAGAGGGCCCTTCAAAGCATTTTCATTGTTACCATTAAGCTCACGAGCTGCCTTTTCAAGAAATTCCTTTGCAGCAGACCGAACAGACTGTTTCTCATCTGATTGGTATTTCCTCTTTTTCGCACTTGTTTCTGAATACCTCATCCTTGATTTATCTCCTTTGCTGAGGTCTCTAATGTTTTGCTTTTGGGCTACATTCATTTAGCAACGTTTGTCAGAGACATGGATTTAAAGGAAAAGATAGGAAGCCAAAAAAAATGTATAAAATAGCTTACCAGATGAAAGATCAGGCAGAGAGTTTCCAATGAAACGGGTTGCTGCCTGACGGTTTAAGACTGTAGTCGGACGCAATGGCTCTATGATAAGAAAAGAGAAACGTATAAGAGATCATATAGTGGATAAAACATTGAATTAAAGGTAGCAACTCAGTCTCTAGCAAAATCTAACTTAATAAAAAAAAAAAATCCTAAACAGATAGACCTGATGTTAATGAAATGATGAAACCAACACCAAGTCACAAGTTCGATTTCCGCTGAGAGGGATTTAAGTTACAGAGTTTGGGCCTAGCTCTAGGAGACCTACTTCTATTAGTGCATCGATTGGAAGCTTCGCTGATGACACCTCGTTGGACACATGCCAAAGGCATAGTAGACGACAACAAATAGATCTTCAACAAAAAGGGGAAAATGGCTTTCTAACAAGAGTTCAATGTATACAAATCTAATAGGTTTTATAAAAGGAAGTTGAATATCAATCTATATGGGAATAAAAATTATCTAAAGGAAAAAAGAAAAGCAGTTTCTTTTGATTTCAATTGACTAAGGTGTCCCAAAAGGAATGTAACACTTCTTTTTATATAAGCCATTTGGAAATTTAAAGATTGATATAGGTAAAATGAAATAGTCAAGGTGACGAAAAGCTAAAACGCAGAACAATGCATTAGGCGCGAGAGATTATGATAAGCCTTCCAATGGAAACACCACTTCAGTATACAAAGTTGACATACTACTCCCCTGCAATTTAAGACGGGTGTATGCAATAAAAAATCCTTCAACCAAAAGAACATTATATCTACGAGAAGTTATGATCAACACTCTTATACCACAGAGGAAACTAACAAACACAGATACTCCAATACAAGGTCAGAAATGCAGGTCCCTTACAAAGATTAGAAATTGTAACGATATACAAAAAGATGATTCACCGCATTAGAAATGGGTAGCCCTTATCATTCTCTATAAAACAAGAGTAGAATAATAAACTGAGCATAGTTTTCAAACGTAGTTGTAATCTCAACAAGGCAACAACTTTATAAGCTAAATGACACTGGCTCAGAAATAAAACTTGGTTTTTGTCCATGAGACGATACAATCACCAGTTCAAACTGAAACAAAAGTTTTAGCAAACCCAGAATACTCAACCACTCGATTCAAACAGCCATAAAGCAACAAATTTTGATCTGTTCTAAAAATCGGTCTAGGCAGCGCCTAAGTAGCAAATCAGGTCTAAATGAAATGATTTATAAAGAAATCATCTAGACGCCCACCTAATCAATAACCACCTGACGATTTCTTAAACATTAAATCAGCCAGTCACAGGGAAACTAGTGTTTACCTTTGTTACGATCCATACACCGCTGCAATTTCTCTTTGTAGACATCAAGCCTCTCCTGCAAAAAAAAAAAAAAAAAAGATTCCCATCACCAAAAACAGCCAAAAAGATGCATTTTTTCGTCTACAAACAAAACCAATATCCAAAAGACACTCAATTTACACATACAATCTCAGATTTAACACGATGATCATCAGGATTAACGCCGGTACATCTCAACCTCACTGTAAACAAAGCCACAACAACAGCAACACAGTATTATCTTCCGTAAAGGAACAAACTTTCAATCTCTATAGCTTTCGAATTTAAATGTAAAACATCTGAGGGTTTAACGTACGGGTGAAAATCGTTGTGGTGGCTTCGGCGAGCATGTACATAAGCTTAGCTCGTTTCAACGGCTGCATTTGAGCGAGAACCTCTGGCTCAGCTAAAGACAGCATCTCCTCCAGCTGCGGTTTCAGTTCCTGGAGGAGAGTAAGCGTTTGTCTCACAGCCTCCATCGCTGATTTCGGAACTACTCCTGCGCTGCTGCTACTTCCTTCTTCCATTCTTAATTGAAAAGTTGAAGACTTTGAAAGGACAACACGGCGGCGGTTTTACCGGTAAGGGTTGTGTTGCTGACGGTTTGTTGAAATGGTTTTTTTATATAGCGGCGCTTCGGACGCGACGTCAGCGATATCAAGATGCTTGTCAATTGTCATGGTCAGTCTAAATGGGCCTTTAATGGGTTGAAGTAAAAGTCAGCGTTTAAAGGCCTTATGTAATAGATTCTTGGGTGAAATTTCGTTATTTTTGTAAGAGTTTTTACAGTTTTAAAAGTCGAGTAATTTTTAGAGTTTCAAAAAAAATAAAATAAAAAATAAAAAAAAAAGTCGAGTAATTTTACGAATTTATATACAAACTAGATTTTGACACGCCCTTTCGAGGGCGGATATATTTTTCGTTTTAAAATTCTTCTGAAAATTTTAATTTTTACAAAAATGTTTAGATGTCACTAATGAAACTGTATATATTACGTATATATGAGATATATGTACATAGCTTACGTATACACTCTTGTATAGAGTAGTTGTAGAGTAGTTGTTAGTCTAATGTATTGAGTATAAATACTCCTCATTGTACACATTTTAACTTTAATGAAGATATTTTCATATTAGCTCATGTTTCCTAATATGGTATCAGAGCCGTTGAGCTTAGCTCAACAACTGATCTTCTTCATTCCGTGACGGTTATTTTCTCCGATCAACTCCGATCTCCTCCGATCACTTCCGATCATCTACAATCTTCATCATCATTCATCTCCGATCTCCATCCCGTCTCATCTGACCTAATCTCGCCTTCCGCATCATTCATCATCTCTCATCATCTTCATTTCGTCTCCGATCTGACTCAGAACTCTCCGATTCTTCTGGATTATCTCTCGATTCCATCTCTCCTTCATAAACTATGGGAAAGAGAAAGTGTAATTCAAAGTATCGCACAGTGACTTCGGATAATGAATCTCCGCCTCGTCGCGAGGGATCTTCTCACTATGTTCCTTCTCGCGAAGCTTCTGGATCTTCAAATCAAGCTCGCAACGCTCAGAATGCTCCGATTCCTCCGATTCAGAATCCTAAACCGTTTGAGGTATCGAACTCTCCTGATAGCATTCATAGTCCGTACTATCTCCACAACTCTGATCATCCTGGATTAGTTTTGACATCTGAGGCTTTAGATGGAACGAACTATAGTATCTGGATTGTTGCTATGACTACTAGTTTAGAAGCGAAGAACAAACTTGGATTTATTGATGGATCTATTGCTATGCCTGCTGAAACTGATGCGTATTATAAGATTTGGTGTCGTTGCAACAGTATGGTGAAGTCTTGACTACTCAATAGTGTTTCTAAAAAGATATACACTAGTATTCTCTACTTCAAAGCTGCTGCAGATATTTGGAAGGATCTTCATGTTCGATTTCACAAGTCAAACCTTCCAAGACTGTACAAGCTCAGGCATCAGCTTCACTCTCTCAGGCAAGGCAGCATGGATCTATCCTCATATCACACTCAGACTCAATCTCTTTGGGAAGAACTACACAGCTTACATGTTCCAGCTCGCACTGTTGAAGGTCTTCTTGCTCAAAATGAACAAAACAGAGTCATTGATTTTCTCATGGGACTTAATGATAGCTATGATCACATCCGTAGTCAGATTCTCATGAAGAAGACTTTACCATCTCTGTCAGAAGTCTACAACATTCTTGATCAAGAAGATAGTCAACGGTCTGCTCGTAACACTTCTCACACTGAGCCTGATTCAGTAACACTCCAAGTCTCTTCCAATTCGAACTATGGAAAGAACCGCTCAGTCTGTACTCATTGTGGTGGTTATGGTCACATTGTTGATCGCTGTTACAAGCTCCACGGGTTTCCTCCAGGATTCAAGCCAAAAGGGAAGTTCTATCCAAAGAAGAATCCTTCTCAAACCTCTAACGTGGCTGCAAATGTTGTTACCACTCAGACTGAGCAACCTGAAGTCATTACTCCTCCAGGTTCTTCCTCTCTCACTCCGGAACAGATGCACCAGTTCATTGCCTACTTCAGCTCTCAACTTCACAGTCAAAGCAACACATCATCACAAGACGGACTTCTTCCTTCGCCTTCAGCTGTACCACAGGCTTGCAAAGCGAGTGGTACTTTTCTACCTCTATATACTTTTTCTCTTATTGGCATGCCTTCAGCTCTCTCTTCTGGAAATACTATAGTTTCGAGTGAGTCATGGGTCATAGATTCAGGTGCTACTCACCATGTTAGTCACAACAAATCCCTTTTCACCTCTATTAAACCTCTCACCAATACTTTTGTGACCTTACCCACTGGCATTTCCGTGAGCATTATTGGTATAGGTCATATCATTCTTAGTAATAATATAACACTTAAAAATGTGCTTTACATACCACAGTTCCGTTTTAATCTCTTGAGTGTTAGTTCTTTGACTAAGGATATTAAATCTATGGTTGGTTTTACTGCATCTGATTGTTTTATACAGGATCTTACACAGGAGTTGATGATTGGCAAGGGTAGACAAGTTAGCAATCTATATGTTCTTGATTCAGTTTCCTTAATTCCTGCTTTACTTCATAATCAAAACATAGTTACTTGTTCCACTGTTGTTGATAATCATACTTGGCATAATCGTTTAGGTCATCCTTCTATGGCTAAAATTGATATCTTGTATGAAAATCTATCATTGAATAAAACAAAGAAACCTATTTCATTTCATTGTGATATATGTCCCAAAGCTAAACAAAAACGTGTTCCTTTTCCTTATGAAAATAACATTAGTAAACATACTTTTGACATGCTTCACATTGACGTTTGGGGACCATTCTCTGTCATTTCTCATGAAGGATATAGGTATTTCTTAACCATAGTTGATGATCATAGTCGTGCTACTTGGATTTATATGTTAAAATCTAAATCTGATGTCTTGACTGTGTTTCCTGCTTTCATTACAATGGTTGAAAATCAATTTCACACCACTGTTAAAGCTGCTAGGGCTGATAATGCTCCGGAATTGTCTTTTACCAACCTTTACCGTGCCAAAGGCATTCTTTCTTTTAATTCATGCCCTGAAACACCCCAACAAAACTCTTTCGTTGAAAGAAAACACCAACACATCCTTAATGTAGCAAGATCTCTCTTATTCCAATCCAATGTTCCTCTTGTATACTGGTGTGAATGTGTTTCTACTGCAGTATTTTTGATAAACCGTATACCCACCCCTGTCTTAGGAAATAAGTCTCCTTATCAAGTACTCATGGGAAAAGTTCCAGATTACAATAGCCTTAAAAGCTTTGGTTGTCTATGTTATAAAAGCACCTCCAAACAGGGTAGAACTAAGTTTGCTCCTCGAGCTCAAACCTGTGTCTTTTTAGGATATCCCACTGGCTATAAAGGTTATAGAGTCCTTGATCTCGAAACTCATGGTATTTCCATTTCCAGACATGTCATTTTTCATGAAAACATATTTCCTTTTGCTGCATCCTCCATTTCTGAAGCAGTAAAAGCTTTCTTTCCACGTCTTGCAATGCCTGATGACACTGTACCTTCTGTACCGTCATCCTCTGGTGATTCATTGGCCCCTGCCACTTCACCTTCTGATGTAGGTTTGCCTTCTGCAACTACATCTACTCGCATTCGCAAAAGACCTGTTCATTTGCAAGACTTCTTGTGCAATTTCTCTCATTCTCTTTATCCTATTTCATCATTTCTTTCTTATGACAAACTTTCTTCTCCTCATTTTGCTTTTATTAATTCTTCTGTCAATATCACTACTCCTAAAACTTTTAATGAAGTGAAGCAGTCTAAAGAGTGGTGTGCTGCTGTGAATGATGAATTTGAGGCTTTGGAACGCCTTGATACTTGGGATGTCTATTCCTTACCTGAGGGAAAAGAAACTATTGGTTGTCGATGGCTTCATAAGATCAAATTAAATGCTGATGGCACCATTGATCGTCCTAAGAGCCGTTTGGTTGCAAAGGGTTACACTCAGAGAGAAGGTGTCGATTTTGTTGATACTTTCTCACCGGTTACCAAGATGGTCACGGTGAAACTCTTCTTAGCTCTTGCTGCAAAGAAGAAATGGTTTCTTCATCAACTGGACATCTCGAATGCCTTTCTCAACGGTGAACTCTCTGAAGAAATATACATGGATATTCCTCCTGGATACGCTGATAGAAAGGGGGACAATCTTCCACCCAATGCTGCTCTTCGTCTCAAGAAGTCTATCTATGGCTTAAAGCAAGCCTCTAGACAGTGGTTCCTGAAGTTTTCAGGCACATTACTCAACATGGGATTTGAAAAGATCCACGGTGATCACACTCTATTCTGGTCTCAGTCTGATAAATGGTTTCTCATGGTACTCGTCTATGTTGATGATATTCTCATAGCCAGTACTCATGAAGATGCTATTTCTTCATTCATCAGTCAGCTAGAACAATGCTTCAAACTTCGTAATCTTGGTCAGCCTCGGTTCTTACTTGGCATTGAGATAGCTCGTTCCAGTACCGGTATCTCTTTATGTCAACATAAGTACATCCTGGAACTTCTTACTGGTGCTGGACTTCTTGATTGCAAACCCTCCTCTGTTCCTATGGACCCGAGTATTAAACTAGCAGCTGATGATGGTGATAAACTTCCTAATGCTGAATCTTATAGACGCATGATTGGACGACTTCTTTACCTCACTATAACTCGTCCAGATATTTGCTTTGCGGTTCACAAGCTCTGTCAGTATTCTTCTGATCCTCGTGTACCTCATCTTAAGGCTGCACACAAGATACTACATTACCTTAAAGGCACTATTGGGCAAGGTCTTTTCTATCCTGTGGAAGATGACTTTCAGATTAAAGCATTTTGTGATTCAAATTGGTCTCAGTGTCCTGATACAAGACGTTCTATCTCTGGGTTTTGTATCTTCATTGGAAGCTCTCTGATTTCCTGGAAATCCAAGAAGCAGGACGTTGTCTCTCATTCCTCTGCAGAAGCGGAATACAGGGCCATGGCATACACTTCAAAGGAACTTATTTGGCTCTCCCGTATGGTCAATGACATTCAGGTTTCTGTTCCTTCTGTTCCTGTTCTTTACTGTGACAGCACTGCTGCTCTGCACATTGCTAAGAACCCCGTCTTTCACGAACGCACGAAACACATAGAACGTGACTGCCATTCTATAAGGGAAAAGCTGGAGCGTGGTCAGTTGAAAACTCTTCATGTTCGTTCAGAGAATCAGTTGGCTGATCCGTTTACTAAGGCTCTTTCTCCTACTGTGTTTCATCGCCTTATGTCCAAGATGGGTTTTCACAATCTTCTAACGCCATCTTGAGGGGGACTATTACGTATATATGAGATATATGTACATAGCTTACGTATACACTCTTGTATAGAGTAGTTGTAGAGTAGTTGTTAGTCTAATGTATTGAGTATAAATACTCATCATTGTACACATTTTAACTTTAATGAAGATATTTTCATATTAGCTCATGTTTCCTAATAGTATATAAATCCCCCTTTTTGAACAACAATTGTATATGATTCTCTATAAACATAGAATCCATACGTCCTAATTATAAGAAGCATTGATAACAGCAAAAATTAATGAAATAATAATTCAAATCATAAACCTTCGACTGGTAGTTGTTATTGATAGATCGTGGGGTCTGCCGGTTTCATATGGTTGCTATGAAAATAAGAGGAGTTACAAAATACAACATTCATTTAGATAGACAAATAGATCCACTAACTAAATTATAATTATACATTAATAATAAATAATTGGACCACACATTTATTAACTGGTCACAGTTTTAATAGAATAGATACGACCATGGCATCTAAGGGCAAAGAATCAGAGAAGGTTGGTAGCATGGATTTTGTCAATATATTTCTGGTATAATTTGGGTTTGCGTTTGAAGCAGCAGTGGGTTTGTTGTAAGCCCGTCTTTTTCATCTTTGTAGAGGGAGAAAGAGAGACCTAAGATAGAAAAGGGAAAGACTCGCAATATGACAAAGAGTCAACAAGCACATATGCAACGGGAAGAAGCAGAGTAATCTTCTGGTTTTCTGATTAATTATCTTTTTTGTTTATAGTATTGTCGGATACCTTGCACTGGTAATTTTACAGCGAGCGGAAGTTGAGAGGCCTTTGACCGATCCTCAAAGGGATGAGTTCGAGGACATGCTGCGTGCTCTAACTTTAGAAAGGAGTCAAATAAAAGAAGCTACGGGCTTCGCCTTAGATAATGCAGATGCAGCTGGAGAGGTTTTTTTTTTATCTGAATTATATTGCTACATTTAATTTATAGACGATCATATGCTTCAGAGGTATCCTTCAGAAGCTTCACATATGTTGCAATCCCTTTTTATAAAATATTTAAAGAAGATAACCTGTTATTCGGGCAAAATCAGAAGCTTTTCTTCGAAACTAAAAATATTTTCAGACTATTTTTCTTCACATTTCATTGAATATTTGAACGGAATTACTCGTTAATTTACATATATTCAGACGCCTTTTCCTGTTTATATATTTCACAGGTTGTTGAAGTTCTGACTGAGTCCCTGAGCCTGAAAGAGACATCAATTCCGACTAAAGTTGCTAGACTCTATGCTTGTGTCTGATATTCTTCATAATAGCAGCGCACCTGTTAAAAATGCATCTGCATACCGAACAAAGTTCGAGGCAACGCTACCCGATATAATGGAAAGGTTCAGTGATCTGTACCGGAGCATAACCGGAAGAATTACTGCTGAGGCTCTAAAAGTACTGTCAGAAAGAAAATAATCTTTTATGGTTTTGCTTGACCTTATGAAATGCTGCTATAAACTCCTTCGGACCCTTTGCAGGAACGGGTTCTCAGAGTTTTGCAGGTATGGGCAGAATTGTTTCTCTTTTCAGACGCATACATATATGGACTACGTGCCACATTTCTCCGATCAGGTTCCTCTGGTGTTACCTCGTCTCATTCTCTCTGTGGTGGTGAACCTGAAATAGAGAAGAAAGGTTGAACTGACAATATGAGCGATATTGCTATATTGCTAATCCAGATGCTGGTCTGGCAATAGGGAAAGGCGCTGCGAGGCAAGAGCTGATGGATTTACCAGTTTCTGAGCTTGAGAGACGCTGCCAACACAACGTACTGTCTCTTGTAGGGGGTAGAGTAGTGATGGTTGCTCGGCTGCTAAGCCTTGAAGATACAGAGAAAAAACGTGGATATGAAGTAGTAGATTAACTTTCAAAGTATCCGCAAGACCATTCAACTTGGGAAGAAGGTAAGAATGAGCGTGAGGTTATCAGAAACAGCTATGCAGAGGTTCAAATGAAAGAACCTGAGCTGAAAGCCTTGGTAGAAAAAGAGAAGAATGACCTTATATTGACAGCTTCAAAATGGGCTAGAGAGGAGGACGAAGCTGACAATGTACAAAAGAAGAGTTACTCTCCAGGAAGCGAACATACTGGTGGGATAACTTTTAAGGTCGATGACGAGGATCTCAAGGGTAACGATTGTGTACGTCCCCAACCTGACAATGGACTGGACGAGGAACAAAGGTTTGATCAAATCATCTAAGCTACTTTTGCAAATAATTCAGGAAATTGGCTTAGACAGACAAGACACCATTTTGCATGTTTGTGTGTGAGCATTAAAACCATCATAGATATTACTGGATATAGTTCTAGAAAAGGGCAAGATCAGCGTAAGGGTACTGTTAGTGAGGGAAGTGTGTTATTATGAAATTATTTGCCATTTTGGTTATTGTCCGCTGAAGGAAATTACTGAAAGCCATATAACGTTTTGGGCGAAGTGTATGCACTTTAATGTGTGTAAACGCTAAACGCATACATGAACTTGCCTCAATACTGTTAAGTTTCCGAGAAAAAGATAAAGACTTACCTTTATCATTACCTGCTTTGTATCATTCGAAACTAAATAGACTGCTTGCTTACTCTGGTTTTCTTGTACTGCAGACAAGAGCTTAGGTGCATAGAAGTTGCTTTGATAGAGTATCGTGAAGCTCTGGAGGAACAGGGGATGAAAAACTCCGAGGAGATAGAGAGAAAAGTAGAAATCAAACGAAAGAAGCTTGAAGTTGACTATGGTTTATCAGGATCTCACGAGGGCAACAGAAACCGTAAGTTATATATTACACCTGAGTTGCTATTCTTCTGTTTTGAGAAAGGCTATTAACTTGCTCCGTATCTATTCGATGCTACAATTAGGGAAACTTGAGTACTTGACCCGTTTTTGCAAATTCTTTAGATCAGGTTCTTATACTCATGTGTAACTTAGTTACAATACATGCGCGAGTTCATCTCAACATTAAGACTAGAATTTGGGGTATTCCAGAACATGACCATGTTCGTTCTGATCCAATAGAGCCCTGTAGAACTGCAGAGAAATCAATCGTAGAGCGGAAGGCAAGGCCTGAAGATTCTCGAGAATCGTCTAAAAAGCGACACCGTGGGGAAAACCACAGCCAAAGTCCACCACGGAAATCATCAGCCAGGGAGAGAGATCATGACTTGGACCGGGAAAGGGACAAAGGGAGATTAAGAGACGGAGCTAACCAATATGATTTGAACAGGGACCGAGACCAACGTCAAAAGAGTTCAAGCCACGACCTGGTAAAACCAGAGAGAGAGAGACATGGACTGGGGCAGAAGAGACTTGAGGTGATGATTGTTCCTTCACCTCATGGTTTGTTCTCTGCATGACTGGAAACACTGTTCCTATAAAAAAAGTTTCAACCCATTAAGATATGTAGAACTCATTCTACTACACATCTTGCATTCTACTACACATCTTGCACTTGTGTATTCCAGTCCCAGTTCATGTTTTTCTTAAGTAACTACTTATATTACAAGACACTGTCCTATACCAAAAAAAATGTGGCAAACTTGCAAAATCTACACTTTCTATCAGTGCAGGTGTTCAGAGAAAATGCTGAGTAACTGAAGCATGTGCTTCAAAGATTGTCTATAGCAAGAGAACACTGTGAGCTAACTTCTATCAGAGGAATGAACAAGAGAAGCCAATTCCAAACTCCGAGCTTCTTCTTTTTCTTCATCAGAATCTTCCCCCATGATCTCACCAGGGAGCTTGAACGTGTTCTGATCTCCCTTAGGCACAAGAAACAGAACAAATAGCGGCGAAACTCTCATCACATTCCTGATCAAAACCGCAAGCCAGAGGTTACCAAACTCTGTCCTAGTCACCTTAAGTACATGCAACAACACTCCTCCAAGCCAAGAAGAGGTCATGAAGCCTGCATTGTCAATAGACATTAGCAACGCAAAGAAGGTCCCTTCAATACCGTGAGGACAAAGCTTTGAAGTGAGCACGAGCAGCGGCATCCATTTCAGACGTCCTATCATCTGAGAAACTACCTCATCGACCACTATGAAGAGATAGTCTGGTAAGCCGAATTTTAAGTTGAGACGTAGCACAAGGATGAGATCAAGCATTCCTGCTAAGGCAAACAGAAGTTGAGTCCACAAACAAATTCCACGGAAGGGATGGTCCTTGAGGACTAGCTGGTACAACGTTGCTCCTAGTATCGACCCTACTGATCCAATTGAGAGAATGAATCCAACAGTTTCCTGAAACCAAATCAAGAAAAGATCTCTTCATATTACACAACTTAAGGTATGTTTTTGAAAGTGTACCTGAGCAAACAAAGGACCATCCTTTGAATCTGTGAACCAATAGAAGAGACCTTCATGAATGTTCAAACTAAGAGCTAGGGAAATGAACATATACAGACTCGGCCTCCACACATCTGAGCACTTCATTGTCCTCCACATCGCTCTCCCCGCGTCAATAAACTTCTGGTTTACCTGAATTGATACAAAACAAGAGTCAGTAATCTCACGCTGGTAGAAACTCAAGCTAGTGAATTAGAGAATGTCACCACCTGTTTGTAAGAGAAACCAGGAACACGGGACTCACTAAACACCATCCCTACTACAGATGCTAACGCGAATGGGAGTGTCAGCAAGCCAAACACACCCTAACCTCGAAAAAAACAAAACACAGCAGCATTAAAAAGAAGTCATCAGAGATCACAGTACAAGATTCACTAACCTTAGAGCCAACAAGATGAACTAAGATGCCACTCATGAAGAAACCAAGAAGTGCTCCAATGGAAGAGCTTAAGCTGCACAAACTCTGCATATCCGAGGCAAGAGAAGGGTGTTTGATACTGTTGTAAGCAGTGCAAGCATCAATGGTCACATCAGCTATCGCCATTGCAGCACTTGATATAGTCATCCACATCAGTGCCAAGTAAAGGTGTAGATTACCAAGAACCGATATGAAAAGCATAGAAACAACTCCAAGGACACCTGCCAAAACGAAGTAAGGGCGTCTATGGAAGCCATAGATGGGAAGAACATCAGTGAGAATGCCCCAAAGAGGCTTAATGATCCATGGAATCTTGGTGATTGCAGTGAGAGCCTGAGACTCTGAAGGCTGAACCTTTTGAACATCTTTCATGTAATACTCTGTGGCTACACGACCTAATGAGCCACCAAGGCCTTGGTTTATACCGTAGAGTGAGACCACACCGAAGACAAAGCTCCAGTGAAGCTCTCTGGCCAGCATCTTTATCCACCGCACTGGACCCCACACCACATTACGGAAATGACTCTCTCCTTTGACCACACGGACGGATCCGCCACTTTCAAGGCTTTGGTCTTCTACAACCATAGCTGGTTCTTTTGTGTTATATGAGCTTAAATGTTGAAACTTTTGATGTGGGTTTGGTCTGAAACTGCGGGAAACAGATCCAGGACCAGAGTTGACTGAACTAAGGTGTTTTGTCTGAAGCTCAGATCATAGAAATGGTGAATCTTTTTATGTAAGAGGCAAGTCAAAGAAGAGAGATTTGGGAATTCAAAACCTTAGCTTGGATTAAAGCTCAAACAAACAAGAATGAAACTGGGACAAGAGAAGCATCGTTGACTTGATTTCGTATGAACAACAAATGACCATTGAAGAAGAAGAAGAAAATGGAGGAAAGAAGTGAGAGAATGAAACACAGATGAGAGAGACGACGAATGGGAAAATGTCAAGTTTTGCTGCCTAAATGTTTTGACCAAACACAACTTTCGTTTGTCTCTTACCAAGAAGAACATTCTGTCTAAATTTTTCTACTTTCTATTTTCATTGTCAATTTCACCTTAAAAGTAGAATTTTGAAAAAAATAGAAACTATTTTTGAATGTAAAAGGTTTTCTTCTTTATCAGATACCACTCATAAAAAAACTTTCTTGGCAAATAAAAGAGAATTTTATACTCCAAATAAAAAGGGATCTATATGATTCTTTTTAACTAAAAAAGGGATTTATATGATAAGCTTAAGAAATATTATGTTTTGAAAAGTTTTGCATCAAAGTCACCATAACAAACCTAATCGTTATGATACATCATTAATACTTTTGACTTTTTAATTTGTTTGTAGATCTGTAATTGAAATGTTACGTAAAGTATAATTTTCGCCCAAAAATAATTATGTAAAGTATGAGTCTCCTCCTAATTCAGAATTTCCCAACAAAAAAAGTCCACCATTTCTCATATTTTTCTTTTCTATGCAAATAAAGACTTGATTTGGATGGAAGGGTAAAACCGTCCATGAGCACAAGAAAAATATCAAAGCTTTTACAAGATCAGTCGGCCACCAAAGGAACAAAACAAGGGTATTTTAAACCTAGTATCCCCGCTTTAGGTTCGTGTCCGAATCCCGTTGGATCAAAATAGATCTTGTCACCACTTCTCTAACCGATTTTCGAAATTACCATAAACCCCAAATCCATTATTTTGGTATAAGCTACATGTCCCAGCATCTTTGGGATGTTCTGTCACCTTTATTTTTTAATATTATAGAAAGAGTAGATATGAACAAACGTTTGCCACCACCAACTACCAACTGTTACTCGTTATTTTTTTCCTGAAAATGAGAAAATAATTTTATAACTTTTGGAAGATGTTGACGTTGCCAATGTGAAAACCTGTTTTATCTTTCTTTTTTGGCATAAATTGAAAACCTGTTTTATCGAAATATGATTTTATACTAATACACTAAAAGTTCTAAACCGTTTTTTAAAGTGTCATCTTACATAATTAAAAGGTTAGATGATTTTTTATGTGTTCATGTACGTATATTAATTCCTTTTCAAAAAAAATTATAATAATTGGTTATCATTATTTATAGAAATCTATCACATTTTAATTTATATTTAACATAAATAAACTAAAATAACAATATACTATTTTTAAAAAATATGCATGTAATTTTATGTGTATATTACATGTAGTCATGGGCATTCGGGTATTTGGTTCAGTTTCAATTAGGAACCATTCGGTTTCGGGTATATCGGATAAATTATATCTATATCCAATAGATACTTATGAGATTTCGGTTCGGATCCAGCTCGGTTTCGAACCCATTTAATATGTAAATCAAATATATAATATACAAAATATATTAGTTAACATGTTAATTTAAATGGTGTAATGTTTACACATTTACATATTCTTCAATCCAACAAGTCAATAAAATTTTAATTTTATAAGTATTTACTACATTTAAATATGAAAATACCATATACTTTTAATATAAGAGAGTAGCTTGAAGATAAATGGTGATAACAATGTTTCACTCTTTATGTCCAACATTGATTTCAAATGGGTTTGATGTCACTTAACCTTATATTAAAAAGGTTAAACTTATTTCTTTTAGATATTTGAATATCCGTTCGGTTCTCGATTCCGGTTCCAGTTTGGTTTTTCGGATAAAGAAATATATGAACCATTCGGGTGTTTGAGGATTTTGGTCCGATTTTGATTTCTGGTATTCCGATTCTGGTTCAATTTTTCAGTTTCGGTTTCTTGCCCAGGGCTAATTACAAGCTTGAGTCCAAGGTGCGAGATGGTTTTGGATCATTTCCATATTGTTATTACTAATGGATTTCGTGGATTAAGAGCACCCCCATTAGGGGATTTAAAGGGGGGTTCACACGTTTACCGAGGGAAACAGTGACGAACTCCGCGCGCGTGGGTTCGTCGTGGTGAACCCGGTTCGTCACGAGTTCGCCACGTGGCGGGCCGTGATTCGCCAATTTTTTTTTTTTTTTTTTTTTTTGAAAAAGTAAACGAAAAAAAAAAATAAAAAAAAAAATAAAAAAAAAATACAGCTGACAATCCCCACCTCAGTATCACTGGTGGGGATGCTCTAAGCCCATCAATCACTCGCTCGGATCTGACATCCGTCCGTGCAAGTATGGCCTTCAAAAAGTTGTACAAGCCAAACAAAGCATCGAGAAGGCTCCACATCACGCCACTAAAATAACCTTGTCTCGTTGAGCTTGGAGACTCCAAAATCTTCTTTTGTGATGAAATAAGTTAAGGTCGGACTAGGGAGGGTATCTAGAACAGTTTCTCATATCCAATGTAATCAAATTTAATGATTAAAGAGGACAAAGTGAATAAAAGCATGAGATATGTTTTTTTATCGAGAATTTCCCATAACTGTATATATAAGAAATTTTACTTCCTATGAATCAATGAGTCTTTGAGTGAATAAAAATGCAAGTATTTTTCCATGTTGATCCAATCTATTTCGTATTTAAAATTTAATAACACAATAGAACATATTAACATAACATAATTTAGAGTTTCTAAATGAGTAATGATGCTCTAATAACTGTAAGAACTCAACGGTATTCTACATTAATATCCAGGGACCAACCATTGGCGCATTTTTTTCATGTGTTTTTATATGAGCCCCATGATACTTATAGGGAGAGAGAAGAACAACGAATGAGCATCACACACTATGAACCAAACCCAAAACCATGTCGATGATAACAACCTCAAGCCGGCCAGAACCGGATCAATGTCCTCCGTACCGGATTGGATAACCGAGACGATCAATGGTGGATCAGCCCGCCACGTCGATCTCGATACAGGAACCAATGGCTGGGCTTCACCTCCTGGAGACGTATTCTCTGTCCGCTCCGCCGACTATTTCACCAACAAACGTAAATGTCCCGGCGGAGACTACCTCCTCTCTCTCGCTGGTGTTGACTGGCTCAAATCCACTACCAAACTCGACAACATCCTAGCTCGTCCCGACAACCGTGTGGCTCACGCGCTCAGACAAGCTCAGTCTCTTGGTCAGTCCCAAAACAGCTTCATCTTCGCTATGAACTTTCATATTCCAGGCAAGGAACACTACCACTCGGTGCTCTACTTCGCGACGGACCAACCTATTCCCTCCGATTCTCTCTTCAAACGGTTCATAGACGGAGACGATACGTTTCGTAACCAGAGGTTTAAAATAGTGAGCCAAGTCGTGAAAGGGCCATGGATAGTTAAAGCTGCGGCCGGGCAGTTCGGTGCGTTTCTTGTGGCTAAGACCGTGAGGTGTGCTTACCATAAAGGACCAAACTACTTTGAGATGGATGTGGATACATGCGTCTCGCCGATCTTGTCAGGGTTTCTACAGTTTATGTTGGGGTACGCAAGGAAGCTTACGCTCGATGTTGGCTTCGTTATTGAGGCGCATGAAGAGGATGAGCTGCCGGAGAAACTGATTGGAGGTGTTAGATTGTGTGGTATGGAGGTATCCTCGGCTTTTGTGGTCGAACCGGAGCCACTGAAACCGTACAGGATGATGGGCTCGGTGGAAGCAAGTGACGACGTAAACACGCATTAAATGGATTTCAACTATTTTAAAGATAGAAAGAAGAGATATTAAAACATGAGTAATTCTTGTTTTCATCAACCAATAAGATTATGTTATTTTATATTAAGTATCTTTTAAAAGAAAATATTCTTAGCTTAACTTCGTATGGTGAACCTTTAGGTTTACCCTCCAATAGTATTGCATTATTTCATATTAGCTATGGACCCGTGCGTTGCATGGATTTACATCAATTTTAGAATTTAAATGTATGTTATGAGACACATTTTTGAATTAAGAACCTATTTTGACATAATTTTTAATTTTCTGCTTTATGTTTTAAAATAGTCAATAATGTTTTTGTTTTTATTAATAGTTATTTTTGATATTTATTTCATTATAATTAAGTGAAAGAAAATATATAAAAAATTATTATCATATTGATTTTGCAAATATATTTTGCTTTAGATTTTAAAAATGAAAATTACTTAGTATTTATAATTAATTATTAACAAAAAATCATTTTTATTATCTACTATGAAACTAAAAAATGAATTACAGAAAATAATATCTTATTATATTCTTAATCAACTGTTAGAAACATATCCAATCAACTGTCGGAAACATACAATTTTCAACAATCAAATTACTACAATTACAGAAACATACTATCTTATATATATATATATATATGAATATTACCATATAAATCGTTTGTTGAATCTTTCAATTGAACTAAATCTTCATAATTTCTAAATCAAACTTTTCTAAGCGGTATCTAAGATAATTGTTGAACCACACATGCAACTGATGTTTTCTCAGTCAATCTTATTTGATATTTATGATATGATACTTTATAGTTTTTGCAATCTTGCATATTAAAATTGCAGATTTCAATAACGGTTTCTTTATGTAATCCATCTCCAAACTTTTCAATTAAAGAATGTTGTACACAATCTTGAATAGTATTTTTCATATAATAAACAAATTATATTTAATAATTAAACTCTATAATATTTTTAAAATATTAAAATAAAAATATTTACCTTCTCATCAAATAAGAGAAAATTCATTCCTATAAGCTCATTATTCGTTTAGGGTTGTATTCAGCGTTCCGTGCTTGAAAAGCTATGGCTTTTAGGTCAAGCTTGCAATCCAAGTTAAGCGTAGAGACGATGTTTTGAAGAGTGGGAACGATCCCTGACGGATGATTGATAAGGTCCACTGGTTCAAGAATTGTAACGCATAAACTTGATCCTATCAAGCAAGAATGACCACAATTCATTCTCTATTTTTGGTTCCAACCAATCCGCCTCATGAAGATTCTTTAGTTCGTCATAAGATGGCCAGCAAGTTATCTCATACATTTCCTACAAAAAAAAGAACATAAAAATGAATAACTAGTGCTTTACCCTCTAAAAGAAATGCTCCATGAGCTTAATCCTCTCAAGAATCGCAGACCTCAGCATCTTTCCCTTCCCTTCTAACTCCTTCATCTCATTCTTAAGCCACTTTGCTTTATACATCACATGAAGCTCATCATAAGTGGGCCAGCGAGTGAGCTAATAGATTTTCTGCAAACATCAAAGAATGAAATTAATTAAGTTAAAGGCAAAAGCTACTGATACTAAAGATTAAGCGAGAAAACGAAAGTCACCTCCAAAGCAATATCATTTTCATATGCAATGCTTGAAAGGACGAAGTGTACATGCTTACTCATGTTGAAGGCAAGACGCTAAGTACACGTCAGGTCATGTTGGTTGTGAGAAATTGAACAAAAATTGTATAGAGTGCTGTAGGAATGAAATCAATCAATCAATATATTGAAAACAGCTTGACATCGCTTATAATAGACAAAATATTTGATAAAAAACAATTTTGTTCTTCTAAGACACTCAATCTTATAATTATAATTGAATTTTTATATCATGTATGATCGTTTATGGTAATATAACGGTTTCTTTATGTAATCCATCTCCAAACTTTTCAATTAAAGAATGTTGTACACAATCTTGAATAGTATTTTTCATATAATAAACAAATTATATTTAATAATAAAACTCTATAATATTTTTAAAATATTAAAATAAAAATATTTACCTTCTCATCAAATAAGAGAAAATTCATTCCTATAAGCTCATTATTGTTTTTAAAAAAAGTTGCTCACCACTTTCTAATATGACGTACCATGGTTCGACAGTAAAGACATTTTTTTATTTAACTGATCTAGTGTTAAATAACTTTCTGAAATCGTCGTTTCTTCTTGATAATTTCTGGTAACAAATTAAATTATAATTTCAGTTAGAAAATAATAATAAGACAAACACACATAAAAAATCATAATAGTGATATTAAAACGCATTACTATGTGACAGCAATGTTATGGTGTGGTGGCAATAACTTTAAACGTATTACTATGTGACAGAACTCAGAAGTTTCGATAAAAAAAGACAGAACTCAAAAGCATGACAACGATCAAATAATAATCATGACAACGATCAACCATAACTTTATAAGAAGAAAAGAATATAGAACTTCACCTTATATTTTTCTTGAATCAATAATTATGCTTGGCGATAAAATATGAGAAGTGACCAAATATAAAAGATCTTAGTTTAATATATATATAGATGTGAATAATCATATTTCCTCTTGGATTAATTAACATTAATCAGTCTTTAACATTTTTTTGATCTAAGTTTTTTTAAAAGGATAATTACTATCTAATATTTTTTTCCGTTCTAACCTTTTTAATTAGATTTGAATAAAGGGAAATTAGCATTATGAGAGTAGAAATATATTAAAAAGGAAATTTTTTACAATCTTCTTTTCTTTATTATAAAGGACAATTAGCATAAAATAGTTTTTACCATTTTTAGGTTTATATTTTAAAAAGGATAATTACAATTCGGTTTTGGAATAAAGTTTGTTAAAATTCAAATTATTATTTTTTAAATCGTTTTATTATAACAAGATTTCTATTATTTAATAAAGTATTGTAAAAACCGTTTTATTTTAATAATAATTTTAAAAATCATTTTATTATAATAAGGTTTTTTTCGTTTTGACCTTTTTAATTAGAATTTGAATAAAGGAAAATTAGCATTATGAGAGTAGAAATATTTTTAAAAAGGAAGAAATATGTTTTTTACAATTATCTTTTTTATTATGAGAGTAAGAAAACGTTTAATTTCTTTAAAAGGATATTTACTATCTAATAATTTTTTTCGTGTTGACCTTTTTAATTAGGATTTTAATAATGGAAAATTAACATCATAAGCATAGAAATATTCTAAAAAAGGAAAAATATAATTTTTATATAATTATTTTTAAAATTATCTTTCCTTTATTATAAAGAAAAATTAGCAAAAAACAGTATTTTTCATTTTTTGGTTTACATTTTGAAAAGGATAATTACAATTCAGTTTTGGAATAGGTTTTGTTAAAATTAAAATTACTATGACTTTTCTAAAAAATTGTTTTATTATAATAAGATTTTTCTTATTTAATAAATTATTTTAAAACTCGTATTATTTTAATAAAAATATAAAAAATCGTTTTATTATTAGAAAATTTATTTTTCGTTTTGACCTTTTTGTTTTTAAAAATCTTTTTATTTTAATAATAAGTTTTCAAAAAAATTATAATAATTTTGTTTTAAACTTTTTAATTAGGATTCTAATAAAGTAAAATTAGCATTATGAGAGTAGAAATATTTTAAGGAGAAAAAATATCTTTTTTGGACAATTTTTAAACCCATGCATGTCACAATCTTAACTAATAACTTGCAAATCATATTATTTTAATAAAAATTGTTTTATTATAATAAAATTCTTTTATTTTTTCGTTTTGACCTTTTTATTTTTAAAAATTGTTTTATCTTAATAATAATTTGAAAAGGTTTTATAAGAAGATAAGATTTTTTTTTCGTTTTAAACTTTTTAATTAGAATTTTAATAAAGTAAAATTAGCATTATGAGAGTAGAAATATTTTAAAGAGGAAAAATCTGTTTTTTGGACAATTGTTTTTAACACATGTCACAATCTTAACTAATAACTTGCCATGTGTCACGATCGTGTTAATTAGTAACTTTGAGAAACCAAACTTTATATAATAAGATTTGATATATTTTTAAAGGAAACACAATCTTATTAAGTTATATTATGTTTTAAAAAAATACAAAAAATAATAATTAAAAAAAAAGAAAATAATTCTTTTTAAAAAAATATATTTTAACACTAAACCCTAAATTCTAATCCTAAACGCTAAACCCTTGAGTAAATCATAAACATTTGGATAAATCTTATAGTGTTTTAAAAATTTAGTGTTTATGATTTACCCAAGGGTTTAGGGTTTGGGATTAAAGTCTAGAGTTTATTGTTTATGATTTACCCAAAGATTTAGGGTTTAGGATTAGAGTTTATGGTTTAGTGTTTTAGTGTTAAATATTTTCTTTTAAAGATTTTTTTTATAAAATTTATCAAAAGGTTTATGATTTACCCATGGGTTTAGGGTTTAGGATTAGAGTTTAGGGTTTAGTGTTAAAATATTTTCTTTAAAAAAAATTAATTTTGTTTTTATTAATTGCAGTAGAACCTCTGTAAATTAATACTCGATAAATTAATATACACTAAATATCTCTATAAAATAATATAATTTTATAGTCACAAATTCAGTTTTTGATTCGATTAATATATCGATAAATTAATATCTCTCTAAATTAATAAAAATAAAATTTTGGTGTAGTCCCAAATATTATTAATTTATAGAGGTTGCACTGTATTATTATTATTATTTATTTTGTATTTTTAAAACATAATATAACTTAACAAGATTTTTTTTTTTTTTAAGATATCAAATATGAAATAACTCAATCCTATTGGATGGTGATCCTAGAAGTTCACCCTAAGGGGTGAACTCAAGAATAACTCTTTAAAAAGTAGTTATATTTGGGTTAGGTTCACCGACCAGTATTATTTGGTTATTTGATATCTTTTAAAAAAAAGAAACAAAATAAAAGGATACTTAATTT